GGATGGTGAAACAGAAGATAAACCAGTGCAAGGACGCTCAACGACAAGAGGAACTGAGCACAATGTATAATACACTGGACAAAGAAGTAAAGAAGAGTGCACGCAAAGACAAAAGACACTTCTACGAAACACTGGCAAGTGAAGCAGAACAGGCTATTGGTAGGAGAGACCTGACAACATTGTATCAAATAACCAGGTTGCTATAGGGAAGAGACCAACACAGATGAAACCAATAAAAGATGAAGAAGGAAATTTAATTGCGAAAGAGGAGAAACAAAGGAAACAATAGGCCGACCACTTCAAGAAGCTTTTGAATCGACCACCACCTGCAGCCGCTGAACTACAAGTGAACATAAATCCTCCAGCAAAAATGGAAGTCCTAAACGCCATAAAGCTACCGAAATGCGGGAAAGCAGCAGGACCAGACGGGATACCGCCAGAAGCACTGAGAACAGACGCAGAGACAACAGCACACATGCTCACACCACTATTGCAGAAGGTGTGGAAGGAAGAGAAGGTACCTGGCGATTGGAAGAAGGGTTACCTTGTCAAACTGCCAAAGAAGGGAGACCTCAGTGTTTGCAAGAACTGGCGCGGAATCACTCTCCTATCCACCCCAGGTAAAATATTAAGCCGCATCATCTTGGAGAGGCTAAAGGATGCACTGGATTCAAAACTACGACCGGAACAGGTTGGCTTCAGGAAGTACAAATCATGTGTTGACCGAATTGCAACGCTACACATCGTCATAGAACAGAGTATAGAATGGTAGTCAACTCTACACCTCAACTTTATCGACTTTGAGAAGGCCTTTGACAGCGTCGACCGAGAAGTAATTTGGAAACTGCTTCAATACTACGGAGTACCGCAAACCTTTATCCGCCTCATTCAACAACTATATGAAGATGCCACATGCCAGGTAATTCACTATGGGAAGCTCAGTGATGCCTTTGAAGTGAAGACAGGAGTGAAACAAGGTTGCCTACTATCCCCTATGATATTCCTTATTGTGGTGGACTGGATCATGCAGCAAACAGTGAGGAGCGAGAAGAGGGGGATACACTGGACTGCGGAAAAGAATCTAGAAGACTTGGATTTCGCCGATGACTTGTGCCTAATGTCACATAAACTTGAAGATCTGCAGGCAAAAACTAACAAGTTGATAGAAGAGGCAGCTAAGACGGGACTTCAGGTGAATATAGAGAAGACAGAAGTGATGAAGATACCGCACCACCACCATCAACAACAACAACAAACTCCGATCACCGTCAACGGGAGAAACTTGAAGGAAGTAACCTCCTTCACTTATCTAGGAAGCACTGTTTCAACTACAGGCGGCACAGATGAGGATGTCAAAGTCAGAATCGGAAAAGCAAGATAGGCGTTCATTAGCCTGAAACCAGTGTGGAGATCTTCTGCACTCAGCACAAAGAACAAGATACGGATTTTCAACACCAACGTCAAGTCAGTGCTCTTGTATGGCTCAGAGACTTGGCGCGTCACGAAAGGCATTTCCAATAAACTACAGACATTCATCAACAACTGCTTACGCTCGCTGCTGAAGATCAGATGGCCAGAAAGAATAAGCAACAAGGAGCTCTGGGAACGAACCAACCAAGAACCTATCACGCAACAAATATGCAGAAGGAAGTGGAGATGGATTGGGCATGCACTGAGTAGGCCGACTGAGGACATCGCGCGTCAGGCCCTCGAGTGGAATCCCCATGGGAAGCGACGAGTTGGACGTCCGAGGGTGACATGGAGGAGGTCGTGCGAGGAAGAAATGAGAGGTTGTGGGCTGTCGTGGAACCAGGTTCAAAAGATCTCAGAGAACAGAGGACATGGAGGCGTGCTACTGAAGCCCTATGTTCCACTAGGAACCCAAGGGACTAATAATATAATAATAATAGAATCACGCTACTAGTTTCTCACTAATACCCTAAACGAAAGAATCCCATGGACAAATTGGCCATCAGACGTCACTTGCCGTGCCTCTAGAATCTCACGCCGTGCGTGTATGCTTTATTTCTGAAAAACGCATCTTGGACTCGAATGTCGTCACTCACTGGTCCTCACCTAGACAATGTGGTGGATTTGCGCAATGAACTTAGTGAGTGTCCGGAGTTTCCATGACTACTTCTTGAGATCTCAATCTTGTACGTATAATTTGTGTAAAGTAATGTTCTCTTCTCAATCACAATGTGTGTGTCATTCACATGAATGGATCTGAACTTACTAAAAATGGTAAGGATACTCGTCAATGTCTATTTGTAGTATCGTTCGATTATTAATTGACCACAGTACGGACAGTGCAGAGGACCAGTTCCGAAAAATCGACCAAATCCAGCCAATAAGGGAAAAGGTTCAGATGTAGACAAAGTAGTTTACAACTTCAAAGTCAAGTAGGAAAAGTGAGCCAAAGGAAACTGGATGTTAGCGATATCTATGGTATTCCATGTCGACTAATTGACAAAGTTAGTTGGACAAAGATTGGTCATCTTTCGAGATAATCCACAGAGGACTACCATTGTTTTTTAAGTACCCGCTCATCTCTGAAGAACTAATCATATAGTCTACAGCTATGCTTCAGCCGCCTAAAATCTTGCTCAAATCTGAATCCGTTATTTATATCCATCCTGATTCACAAGAGATGAGAAGGCTGTTTCAAACATAATACATCAACTGATCACTGGATAGTAATTAATTTCATGTTATCCAGTCCTAAGTGCTGACGGAATCCTCTCGACTTATTTGCGATGTGATAACTAGATTAGGAGATTGAGCATGAGGGTGCACACTGAGTGATGTTAGATGCTTGGAGGCAGTTGGCGGTAACTCCTGGACCTGGGTCTGGACTCTATTGGCACTCGCCAGCAAGGCATAACCACGAGTTCAAGGGAATTGATGTCATCCGAGTGATCCGAATCCACTGCCGCAGTTAGAGACGTTACCATTGGGCCATTTTGAGCAGCACTTAACCTCCTGTAGAACTGGATTAGGTACACTGATCGGTGACTGGATAGTAAGCAATTTCATTTTGTCTAGTAATATTTATTTTATCTCCTGACTGCACTTGGTTAACGCTGCTCATGCAGACGATATAGTGCTGTTGAGTGGTGCTGAAAAAGTCTGCTGGAAGCTTTTAACAAAGATCCGAGTATCTTTAGCATACTTTCCACACTTACTAACACAATGCTTCAGGGCTAATCTTCATCAACTTACAGAATAAGAGTAAGAGGTGGTGAAATATTTAAACCATTTCATGCATGAGGTGTGTCAGGCGTAATGGGTTGGTTGATATTATGATCTCCGTTAGGACACAAGTGTTCAGTTTGGCATTTACCGATACACACCACTTTCGGCATCAGTATATCCAAAGTGTACAGCAACAAACCATGTCATATCGTACTTCTGCGAAATATTGCCCTCAAAAGCAAAAGATACAAAATGATTGCATACTTCTGACTATAAGTGTCGTCGTTATCTTGACCGTCTGGTGGTAGAAACATCATGTGAGTAGTGCTGAGGGTTGAAGAAGGAAAACAGGAGAGAAGACGAAGTTATCCGATGAAGCTGGAAATCCTCACCACCTGAGATGGATTACATGTGTTACCTATGCCTTTCCAACACCAACCTTGATGTACGATGACTGCCGAAGTAAGATTAGGTTAAAAAAGAGCTAAGTGTGGCCAAACGAGGATATGGCACCAGTTTGTGAACCATTCAACTGTTATTCAGAGCCGCATATGAAGATAAGATGTGCCTATATAAGTTCTGAGAGATGATTTAAATCACTATTTGGAGACTGTTGTTGATTTGGCCTAGAATCTATCACAATGAACCAAATACGTACACCCTTAATCATTATAAATATTTTCATAAACCTTTATCAGTTTAGATTTAGAGGTTTCAAGGTTGCATTCATGATGGACTGACATCAGTTGAAGAACTACTGAAAAACCTGGAATTATCTGACAGGTATGTCTCCCTTGCGTGGGACTCCTCAGATGCGTGCACCACGACTCATCCAGAGATCAAACCCAGATCCATCAGGTCAGCAATCAGTGCTTGGTACCGTTATCTTTTGAGATGGATTCCCTGAATTCCCAAATGTGAGGGCAAATACTTCCTGAAGTCATTGGGTGATTGTCGTGCTACATTATGTATTGCTAGAAATAGAAGCATATACGCCACTGGATCCCAACCCAGTGGGTGAGTAGAAATGTGCTGGTAAAGAGATTTGATGCTCTCCTGTTCCATCCCTGGCAGGGTTAGTGGATCATGCACTATTGATGAGCCTCACACTAGGACGCAGTAGGTGGCAATCTCTCAGTAGTCCTCCAGTTGATTTAGGCTTATGATGAGTAATACCTTCATCGATTTGCTCTCTTTCTCCTCGGGAACGTTTGCCTAATTAAATATTATTCTTTTTCTACCCACTTCTCAACTTCAGGCGATGCATTCATGTGCTGGCTTTTATGTCGACCTTTCTGTCGTCTTTAGCTATCATTCCTGAGGTGTACTCTACGTTTCTGAACAAGCCTTTTGAGGTATAGTAGATAGAAAAATGTAAACATGTTTTCTCCAACCCATCTAGAATAACATTGAGATTGGTTAAGAATATTTTCAAAAGCTTATCTTGGGGAACCTTAGAATGCGCTTCTCGATTCAGCACATTTGTTGATAAACATTTTCAGTAATCTCCATCAACAGTGTGACCAAAATCAACAGAAATGTAGGAAAGTTCAAGGTGAATGAAATTTACTGGCATACTTCGGTAAAATTATTTCACATCAATAAAGTAGCTGAAATCATCGGTGAAACATACTTAATTCACAGGATTCTAATCGAAAGACACTAAATAATCAATTCAGACAAATCCCGCAGCACATATTCCAGGATATTTTAGAAAAATAATTAACCAGTGAAAACATAAACTTTTAGTTTATCAAAATCCTTGTTAAAAATAATCATTTTTACTGAACAATGCTGATATTTACCGTTAACCAAATAATGAATACTAACAACAGTAGACTGCATAATAATCCAAGCGAGAATGATTGCCATGGAAAACCTCTTCTGTTGATGCCGATTTCCTCTTGACTGGAAGAAATGGTCAACCATGTGCACAATGTGAGTAAAGGTAACATTAAAAGCAGACAAATGATATCGGTCCATAAATGTTTGCGACGATGGATTCCATCTCCTTCCCCACCAGACCATAACCACTAATTTTATAATGGAAATTAAAAAGATGATTGTATATCTTAACTACCACCAGAGAACATTGTTGATCATACACTATAGTGAGTTATGAAAATAACTTGAGAATCAGAATTTTAAATAAAAACATCCTTTGAACGGAAGAAATTCGAAATTTTATGGGAGACTTCAAAGGCCACCCTGTATTAACCAATCAGGTTCTGATGTTACGGCTAGAAAGGTAGTTTTTTCATAAAATATCAAAGCCTAATTGGTTATCTCAGCAGTTGCTAGGGTGGCCTTTAAAGTAATTCAACTTTATAAAGCTAAAAAATTAAACCTTTATAAAATTTCCACTTGCTTATCATATAGTTTTGATATTCAGATTATCTTTCATTAGTGTTTCAGAAACAATGCATAGAAAGCATTTTCCAGGTTTGTTAATATAAAATAAATTGAATAATCAACAAAAATCATCTGTTCGAGACTCGAATCTGCTTAGTACCGATCGGAAAAGATCCCTACTTGCTGCTCCTTACTGCGGAACTATTTGGTCATAAGTGACCATGAATCAGATAATTAATTTATGGTTTACCAGTCAAGCCTAATTCATTTATATATCGATATATTTCAAATAAAAAGGTTACAGCTGAAGCCATATTTCACAGTCTATAAAATACTCACCATCAGAGTGAATATTTCATTCAAAAGATACACAAATTGTCAGTAAGTTCATACACATGAGATTAGCTTCATCTACATTGGTTACGACAACAACTAATGCTCAGTTTACACTACTGAAATAAAAACGTTTTCTGAATGAGATAGCTTTTACTCTGAATGTATATTTGCTTAAACAAAATAAGAGCATATGGAATCCAACAAAAGCCTGGTATTCATTCATTTTCACTTTCAAAATGAAATAGTCAGTCATTCTGTAGGTTATTTCAGTCGCTCGTATTTACTAGTACTGCTACTAGTCCTGGAGACAGGATGACAATTTTATGCCTGAAAGCACTGATTTTTAATCTAGTGTTGAAGTCACCTAGCAAGATTCTGATCATATATAATAGGTAGTTGAATGCTACCAGCAGGATTAACGCACCTATGTTTCACACTTGTTGACACTCATCAGCAAAGTTTATCTTCAACCTCAAAGGAACTGATATCCCCTGAGAAATTAGAACCCAGCAGGACGCTGGTAGACATCCTTCAGAAATGGACTAGATACACTGATGGTTGAAGTGTGTTGCGATCTTCAACGATTTTTTATTCACCGCTTATTCGTAATTTCAAAACAGGCCTAAACTATTGCTCAAAGAAGTTATTTTACTCCTGAATGAAATCAAATTTATACCAGAAGACACCGCTTTCAGTTTCAATCAACTGAATTGCCATATATTCTGCCATATGGATTGCTGAAATTTTTCAGGAAATGCTAGTTATAGATTTCGAACTCTTAATCATCATTCAAAGCTTAGAAATGCTGGCTATGCAACAAAGTTATCAATTAAAATCTTAAATATCACGTATCTTGAAGGAGACTACTGCAGATTCATAGGGGAAAGTATCAAAGTTTCCTGGAAAATGTAACCTTATTGGTCGGTAAATTGTGTCGAATATTTGAAGTTCAGGCCGAGAATGTCAAGAGTGAGTTGTTGTCTGAGCTAGTGTTAACTTTTTCGAATAATTTTCATTTTCAACAAGAGTACAACTTGAACACTATAGTAGGATGTGATTCCATCTCGGTTAATTTATTAGACGGATAACATAGTGAAATAATATTATTAACTGGATAACTTTCCGGACACAACTCACTATACATAGCCATTTAACTATGTTTCATTGCGTAATACATCCAATAAACCAAATGAAATCGGATTTACAATTTAGTAGCTATCTTGTAGTCACAACTCATTGAGACCCAGTTCATTAATAAACATACTTTGCAATCCTATCATATCATAAATATGATTTTGTATCCAGTGAAAAACCCACTAAATTTCTTGACATTATTTTTATCATCACATTTACTTTTAGAATGAATTTTGAGTCAAAAAGCATTGCTTTATCAGTTTCTTCCATTCTATGCACTGATAATTTTTAGGCAAAACGATAGTTATACATTATACCTCTCATGTAAAGACAATAACCCAGAAATTTCACAAAAAATCATACATTTAGTGCTCTGCCAGTTAATATGAATGAGTTGTTGTGTTTCATGAATCACTATGTTAACCTTAATTTGTTTTTGCCGAAGTTACTCACGTAACTTTTTCAAATACTTTGCGTTTGGTAAATCTAGATATGTTACCAACGGAAACACCGACACTATTCCTAGTGTTACAGTTAATATTCTGCAACTAGGTTTCCGTTAGGAACGAAATCTTAATCAACACGTCTGAAGGCATTATCTACATAAATTCCCATTGAAAATGCCTCATTTGATACAGAAAGTGGAAACTATTCATTTGTTTTTTTATCATAGTCAAAGTTTCACCGAACTGTACTGCCATTGATGAATGGTAACATTATCGCAAACATTCCAGTGTGTCACACACCAGTAAAAGTCTGACGTTTAAAAGTGATCTATGTTTACATTTCACCGAATATTGTCTTGCAACCAATAACCAGTAAAGTTCCCAACTAGAATTTTTCGTTAAGTACGATAACAATTAGTTTGTCATTTCTCATATACTTTGTAGAGACTGCTAAGGTAAATGCAAGTGTTTTATTAATGTACGAATATATTTCAATCCAGACCAGTTTATTAAAATAGATTCGTCATCATATGGCCAAACGCTAAGAAAATATCTGAAGTCCAGGTATCCGGAATAAAATTGCCGTACGGCAACAAGGAAGTCAGACGATATCAGCATAGCACGTTATTTCACCAAGTGCATTCTCAAGCTAACATCCCTCCCATCAATACATGAAGATACAAAACAAAGCAAAGAAAGCCAAAGTAGAAGAAAGAGCAATCAAAATTTGCGGATTGCAGTAAAAGCCGTTGGAAGGCGGTGAAAAACAATTGAAAAATCAGATATGGTGATTAAAATCAGACGAACATGTGGGTTTATCTGTGCCACTGAGGTGGATTCTGAACTAACAGTTGCAGCTAGAGGTAGTGGTCAATCTTGCATATTACACTGACCCAACGAGATATGGTGGCGAAGCACCTGTTTTTATGGGATCCTATTAGACTATGTAAGTTTACTGGATAGTGGTAAAGCGAAAAAAGAGTTACGATAATAGTGTAAATTACTACGCTATTATAAGGGTTTCGTCGCGATGTTGAACTACCGACAGGGAGTGGCATAAACACAAGTAGGGTGATTACGCAATAACCGGGAGTATTATGCTGATGTTACCTTCTGCATTGGAAACAGGGTTTAGAAAATGCCAGCGAAAAAAAACAGCACACTCTCTCCTGCTATGGGGTTCTCCGATGTCGGTGGTACAGGTTTCTGAGTGGATTTAGGACAGTGAAATTTTACTTTCAAAAAAGCGTATGCATAACCCACCTCCAGCAGACGTCACTTATATCAAGTAACGCATCATGGCTTTATCAACTCTGGTTGCGCTGAAGTTTCTATGAGCATTCAATTCCGTTCAAATCATTATCACAATTCTCTACTTTTATCTTTGTATTCAGATTCCTACGCCATCTTTCATTTCTTCTACCAAAGCGGTAGCTGACAACAACTCTAATACACGCAACAGCTACTCTCGCCCCCTAAAATAGTGCTCTAAACCACTAAACGGAACCTTCTATATCAACACCTTCCATTGGATTGGAAAACAAGACTCACAGGCTAAAACTCTAGTATCTTTAGCTAGAGATAAGTGTTTGTATTTAAGATACCCTTTCTCGATTCAATCGCGGTTATTCACTCAACACTAATTCCCATCGCTCAATTCATCTTTACTGAGATTCAATCCCAAACTAAGGTTTTTCCGTTATACTCTCACCTGTCATCGATGAGATTGTCTTTATTTCCTTGACAATTCTAAACAAACTTCTACCTTCCACATAATTGTTGCCTTCTGGATCTTCTTAGCCTTTACCGCCAGCCATGACTCATGGTCGTCGCGTAGAACTTATTTCAGTCTACATTTGGGTTACTTTTACTTTTCATTCTCCTCATCACACATGGAATTGGATTCAAGGGCTCTTGAGATCCGCCGACTCTTTATAGTCTTTTCGTAACGGTCAGCAGCGGTTTGTAACTCTATTCTTACAGCAGACTGTAGGTGGAACCAGGCTCCTTCAATATTAGTGACACTGTCCCGACCCGACAACTGCATAGTTTGATCCTCTCTTAAAGTAACATTTGTGTGGTCAGCCTTTAGCTATGTTCATAACTGTTTTTCAGACATGAGTCTTAAAAAGGTGTAGAATCCTAAATTTTTTAACCAGTGACACGATTATCTTCAACACAGACTAGTGCGATCGGTAAATTCTTAAGGGTAGCAGACTAAAATTTGCTTTCGATTGGCAGCGATGTTGATTTTTTTCAGTTAACCGGTCCAACTAGAAATGTAATGTCAAATCATGAAATAACTTCTTTTCAGTTATGATGAATACATTTCTTTGCACTTATAGATCCTTTGAATAAGGAGGAGGTTTTGTATATTCCAAAAATCACTTAGGTAGCTAAACAATAGTGTTTTGTCCGAAACTAGTAAATAAGAGGGCAAGAAAAACAACTTTGAGTGGGCATCTGTATTAAGAAGGATCAACTTAGCAAGATCCTAATAAGTGAGATGGATATACATTGAAGTATCAGCGAAATACGTATACATGTAAGACAATTCCGAGAGGCCTAATAATTACGCTGAGGTATTTTAAAGCTGTGCGAACGCTGAAACCTTTAAGTAGAGGGAAAAATTCAATTAATATATTAAGTGAAAAAAGAACAATGGGTAATAACGTATCCTTTTCTAATAAGCTATGAATAGCTACAGTGCTTCCTGAAAGAAGACATTTTCAATAAGACAGCACTCTTTGTTACTATAAAACAGAGTGAACTTTCCACTGACACTGATATTAGTATTCTTATACATCAAAACTCAGCAGGAACTTAAAATCAATGAAACAGCTTGGCAAACCGATTAATCATTTACGGTATCTTAATTGTGCAACACTTGGTTTCAAAATAATGTGTTACATCACGTATATTTTGAAGTAGTAAACTGTGTTCAAAGTCAATAATTAAATAACTATCTCAGTTTGCGGTAGTTGTAGCCTGGTAGAATAATAACATTACGAAAAAAGCTCAACCGAATGATAGATAGGCACCTAATTTCAAAATCAACTCCATCGCCTATAACGAGTTTGCTATATTCTATGCTCGTCAGTTGCCAGCGTGATCTAGGGTGTTCTTTTGCTTTGAAACTACTGATTTTATTTAGAGAATACACACAGCAAAACATACCAGAACCCAATGATATACAATAAAAATATTTATTGAACAAGTCTCACCTCACTGAAAACCGGATAGCGCCTCAGAACTTTAAACTTATATCCACAAATTTCACATGTTCTGGATCTTGATAAATTCAGCCATCTCTCCAAACAGTGCTTATGTATGATACCAATAGTTCCTATTATCTGCGTGAATTGTGGGAGAAGTGAGCGATATATTACCTGAACAGTAGCAGGGACTTAAAAGCTCTTCAGAATCACTGGATTGTAGACAAATACGGCAACAAACATGGTTTCTGCTTCTGAAATATACATAAGAAACAATATATAAATACAAACAATTGTTTCTTTTCCGACTGTCGAACAATCTTTGAAAACTCGCTAATTGTAATGAAAGAAATATCAGAAAGTTCTGAGCATGTCTTTGAAGTTGAAAGAATAGCGGTATTCGACAAAGCATTCATCCCAATGGTCAACGAAAACTGATAACAGATTTGAAATTCAATATGCAAAAACTAACAAGCCAAGGACTTTCAACATCCAATGCCAGTTTGACAGTCTTGGCAATTCAAAAGGACATTTGTGTGCTCACTTCTAGACCTCACAGGATGGTCCAGATCTTCGAAAGTTTTCAGTGACAAGATATTCTACGCACTCAGATGCTAAGTAACGTGTAACACTTGATTTTCCCTTCGGAATGAATCGATACAACATTACCAGTAGTTGTTTTACGAGGTTGTAAATACGGTTTACCTTCGTTGCACTCGTTTCTAGGTCTCACGAACCTATTCCAGGGATCCAGTGAATCAGATGAAGTCGATTCACTCATTTTCCAGCCGCAGTCCTGGTTAGTTTGATGAGTAGTTGGATATGTATGGGAGTCTATAATCTACCATGAGACATAAGGAGTACGAAAAGATAGCAACGAAAAAACCGACGGCAAAGACGGTGAAAAAGGAAGGCGAACGGAGGGGAAAAGCCAGTAAATTTTGGGAAGATGAGGGAGGAAAGAGTGACGGAGATAGCCTTACTGAATATCGCAGACTCATAGAGGGTAGGCGTAGAGAGCAGGAATGATAATTTCAGCAGTGGTAGGGCAGCTAGAGAGATAAGGCCTCTAATAGGAATGCATGAGGTTGGGTCACAGTGATAAATAAGGTGGCAGTAAAAGAGAATCAGTATGGAGGTGCTAAGTTTCGGTTTATGAGACGTCAGTTGGTCGGTTCGGCCAAGGCTGCATCAGAACTAGATGAGCGTTAGCAATGTGTCATTGTGTACCTGTCCAAACGTTTATTGAAGCTGTTGGAGCCACCTCAAAAGTTAATGCCTTCCAGCTGCCACGGACCAGAAGAGAAAAGAAGCATGGACGCACAGGGGTTTCCACTATTCGATTGGCAACTCCCTGTGGATTCTCACATGAATCGTCACGGTGAATGTTTGGTAACACCCTTCTGCCTGAGTGATTCGGATTACTAAGAACCATACGGGCCATTATCAAGCCGACACGAAACCCACATCGACCACGGGATAAGTGCCTATCTTTTGGTCTATTATCGTATGACTTTTGTCGCGTGGTCGGGTGGTGGAAAGACCTTACGAACTGCTAGATGACATTGCTCGCAGTACTTCTGAGGCTCCTCAAGGAGCTGGGACGGGGTAGTCACGTGGTTGCCTACGAATGCGCTGTGCAGCCTCCAGGAATGTCTTCCGAGTGATTTGAACTAGTGTCCGGTTCGTCGACTGGTATCAGTTCCAGGTCTTTCAGCGTCGCTGCGCAAGAAGCGTGAGTACCACGGGAATAGTGGCTACTTTCCCACTGGTGCCCACCTGACGTATTTCAGTCGTCGATATTGTTTCCTCAAATGCCGGAGCCACTAATCCTACCTTCCTTGCCTCGATATGTCTCTCTGTCATCCGAAATGCAGGTTATGATCATCGGCCCTTTTGACACACGCCCAGTATACATATTGACTTCGAATCTTTATTCCAGACCTGAGAGCCGTCGTTTCTTACCGCCTAGAAAAGCAAAAGAAAAAATCGGAAGACAACTTACATCAGACAACAAGCTCCACAAAATTCATGGCTCCAGCAATGGCTCCAGAAATGTTGGCAGTAAACGCTGTTTGTGGCCAAATAAGCAGTTCGTTCGACTCCTGGCAACCACCCACTTGGTAACGAAGCTAGCAGAGAGTGACGTAGTATGAAGCACCGACCTTGATAGCTTATTAGACATGACGACGGTAGACAAATAGAGTTTTACCTTTGGTCTAATTTATTCAAATGACCCTGTCTAAAACATCAAGTGCCCGAACAACCAGTCTCGCTCCATGATATCAAGCGAAAGTGGTCCCGGCTTCCTTCCATATCAAGCCCAGTGCCTAATTCTAGTTTCACATGTCATCTGTAGACAGCACAAATTTATCGAATGCTCACATATTTCCAGCTCTATCTACGCTCAACACCCGATATACAATGCACTCTTGCCGATTATGTGACTAATTACTGCCAGGATACCCCCTATGCTGAGTGATTATACCTGCATAACCCTTTGCTACTGCTGTTGTAACCAAGTGCCTTTTATGGTCAGTAGTGCTTGAGCGCTTCCGTACACCAGGAGGCTATATATGGCGTGATGACTTGCCCTTTCCGAACGTTCTCAACTTAGTTGTGGACAATTACTTTCGGTATAATTCATCTTTCCAAACATGATAGTAATATTTGTTGTTACCATTAATCATTTGATTTAATCCTGCCGCTCACTTTCAACATATAATCATAGTCGGCACGTGCCTTGTCTACTTTTTTCGCCTCGTGAGATTTGGTGAGTATATGTGGGTCACAGTTCTGTGATATTACTTTAATCATTGTGAGTTAGGATTCCGCTCTTATCACATGAAAATGGCTGGTGCCTTGCCGTATCGTCTATCGCTTGTTCTCCGCATCCATATAGTTGGGCTGCTTAGCTTGTTACATTCCCATCAATTTGTTCACCTCAACTTTCCCGGTGTTTATCTTGACGAGGCAAATTACTGCTGCTTCCACAGCAAGCATCCCTATCTGTGCATACACCAACGCATGGCCGGAAAAAATTTAAAAAATAAATAAATAAACATGTCTTATTCTCCAGCTGGTAATTTAACATGAAAGAAGTCAGCTTACAGGCATCATCACACTGGTATATGTAGAAAAGTCTACGAGTCCTGAATGGTACAGAAGATATACCATTAAACCTTGTTAAAAAATAAAAAGATCCCGCTACTGATGAAACGAACGAGAAAATATCACTTTTCGGCGTATACGGTGTGTTAAAGTTTAGGTAAAAATAACTCTTATCTCCATGTAATGGAGATTCCGGTTTGCGCGCATCGTCAAATCGATAATTCTTAAAAGATTACTAACCAGTATTTAGGGTTAAATAATTTACCTATCAAGTAATCCATGTGCATAAACTTATTAAAAGTTGCCGCGATTCATGACATGGGCATGGAGTTTCATCTTCCATTACACAGATAGGTTCCACTACTAGGAACAAAAGCGCATGAAGTTAGAAGATTGCGCCGTGACCACTCGGCGATCTAATTCCATCCGCGTAGTTTGTCATATGGTAATATGACAGTCCGTTCAATACTGTCCCTTGGTTTGCCGTTATACTTTTGGAATTGTCAACAGAAATTTGATCACGAAAAAACATCAAATCAGCAGCCAGGAGAACCGAAGTAAGAGGTCACGAAGCGCACACCGCAACTTTAAAACAATCGCGAATAACTACCTAAGCTCTACTCCTGACACAATGAAACTTACATCGTAGCGCAGAAACCTACACTATATTGTTGGCTACTTTCGACCTACTAACATCCAGCTGACCTCTCTTGTGTGGTAGGACCTCGAGGGAATAAGCATTCCAGCGGTACGACCCGTGTCACCATGGTATTCAGTACCACCATCATGTCATAAAGAGGCCTTCGTTTGGGCCTACCAGTCCACAGAAAATGTGATTTTTTGATGGAGTTGTGATGTGAAATGAGAAGTGAGCTGGAACATTTACACCCACTTAGTGATCTGAGTTATTCAAGGTTTGTCTTCACCTGTAATGAAGACAAGGGGGTGCCAACGGTCCATGTCTCTAATGTTTATAAGTCTGCTAAAAGTAGGTCACCCAGACACTTGACAGTTACGGATAAATCGAGAGAAAAAATCTGGAATGAAGGTTGTGGAGCCGCATGACGTGATGATTAAGAATGTCCCTACGATAGCTGAGACGTTTATTGTACGAGTAGGGGCAAAGGACTTACTTTCGAATCTGAAGGAAATGCGGGGCGAAATTGTTCACATCTATTTATTAATAGTCAGTTCGTCATTGTTCGGTGGTCATGCATCTTGGTGCCAGATGTTTATTGGTCACCTCGTGGGCATAATAATAACATGACTTATTGGCAGAACTCTGATTTGCCACATTCTAACAAACTACAGGTAAAGGCTGTTCTCAGGGCATGTGGTCCTCTCGCCGTCGGTCTTGGATGACCAACAGATGTTGTATGAAGTTGGGTCAAGGTGGCTGAAAGGAATGCGGTCACGGAGAGGGAGTCCGATCTTGTGGACTTGGTTCATATTCGTAAGTAAAGTTCTAACATGGCTCGAATAAGGTATCGAATACCGATAGGACGTACCTAGAAAAACGGTCGAAGGAGTCCTTCCGACTCACGGGTCGGTAAGCGGTTATTTCACAATTTATCTGAATCTGTTGGGTGTCTATAAGAACAAAAATCCGAGCAGATCAAGGGTCACTGTAGGAAGCCATTGCGCCTTTCGAATGTCAACAACTTTTCACTGTGGCGGTGAGTGATTGAAGTTATTAGACTCAGTATCCTCTACGTTTGCTCAACAATAGTTCACCCTTTGAGTTTTGTGATTCAAGACTGTGAAGTTAATTGAAGATAACGAGATGAAACATCTCTCTGCTGCGTATATTTGGTGAGACGGTTGATGTGACAGCCCTTTTACTTAGTCATCAAGAGAGTACAATAGTGCTGTACCGGTAACGATACGCAGACGGTAAGAGTGTGTATGTATTCTCAGAATCTGAGACAGAAACACGTCTCGTTTCTGTGACCATCAAGAGAAAGCAACCGACGCTTGAAAAACTGAAACGAACGCCACCTTTTAAGATGAAGTGTACGGATAGCACGACTGTCTCTGCGAAGATAGGAACTTCGCTCTTCCCAATACCGTCTCCTGTGGTAAATCACTCCTCGGTTTCTCCTCGTGCTTCCTTTTTCTTCTATTCCCAGCCTCAGTTTGAAGAGAAAACCTCGAGCACAATTTTGGCCGGAATCGTCAACTTACCAAATATACTACTTAGTACTTGAAGCCAAAAGTTATGAAAGAACTCTTCAACTGGTTTTCCCCTATTGATTTTCAAGTCTCCGAAACGTTCCACAGCAAACTCGCTCAGTTACAGATATCCCAGATACAACCATGTACGAAAAC